CAGTGTTGCTGTAGAGCACTTGCTTTAACGTATTAATTAATTATAATTTAACTTTATAGTATACAATGTTGTTGCTGTAACTTGATGTGATGCTACTGTTGCTGCTGTTGCTGAAGTATTGATGAGTGTAATGCATTTGTTAGCCCACCCACCCAAAATCACCACCAGCCGTCACTGTATACAGTGATTGTTAGAGTTTCCTGAAGCAGAGAAGTTTTCCAGTCCTGTGGAGGTAGAGGAGGGGCTGTATAAACCCAGTTGTCAAAGCTAAGCTTGTGCAAATAGTTAAGGCATTAGGAAACTCCGACTTCAGGAAACCTTGCAGTGGAATAACAGCCATGTACAAAAAGAAATTAATGGCCATTAAAATAATGATAAGCAAAATGATTTTAAATGCCCTTTTCTTTATTGTATTGCTCTTCTTCTTCTCTGTGGCTTTTTCTCCTGGCCTGGGATGTTTCAGAGCCCTGAGAACTGAGAGGCAGCAATAAAGTATTACGCAGAAGAAGAGTACATTCTGGAAGAAAGGTCCATAAAGATACAAAGGTTCTGTGTAGGTGTACATAGAGTAGATGCAGGACACCAACACAATAGGCCAGGCAACACAGCAACAGGCCACCCTGTACCTCAGGGGTTTAAACCGCAGAAATGACACAGGGTGGACAACCCCAACATAGCACTCGACACAGATGCAGCACTGGAAGAGAGGACGGGCGGTAAAAAAAAGGCCACGTGAGAACATGAAGGCATCAAAAGAGAAGAACCAGTTTAACCATACATAAACCAAATACCACATGCTTGATAAAGCGAAAAAGATCTCCGACATGGCCAGGTTGAGAGAAAAGAAGTCTGAGGCCAAAGTCTCTCTGGCTCCTGCCAATATCAGCCACATGACATAACCGTTCAAAGGCAGACCCAGGATGATGTTGACTGAAACTGAAGCGATGACTAAACCCACAAGATGAGAGTGGCTTGACAAACAGTTTTCTGGCAAGGTGGTGTTCATTTTGTTACTGTAGAGAAGAAGAAGAGAGAGCTTCAGAATCCTGAACGTGAAAATCTAATGTTTCTTTGCTCAGTTTGGGCTTCTTCATACAAAGAAGACACATTTGTCTACAACAAACCTTTACAATAATTTGAGATGCAGTGCACTGCAATAACATACTATACATAAATCAACAAGCATTGATTCAAACCTGGTTAGAGTAGAACAGTGCGTGGAGTTCAGGCAGTAGTGATGTGAAGATTTGAAGTGATGCACAAATAGCCTTGCAGGCTCTCTTTACTGGTTACTGTTGACATAATCAAATACACGACAAAAACAACAATCAGAACACTGGCAGGAAAATGAAAATTTTATTCAAAAACAAAAGGGGTTCTCAAAATATAGATCCCTGTCTTTAAAAAAATTGACCATGCTGTGCCCTGCCTGCTGGGATAGACGGTAACCACTTTGACCCTTTAGATTGAGAGATGAGTGGGTTACTGTATATTGATTTAAAACGTCAGTTCACCTTTCTTATACAAAATCTGATTTTCCCCAACTTAGCAGTAGAGGAAAGTAAGTGAGTACATTTACTGAAGTACTCGACTTAAGTACAGTTTTAAGGGACTTTTAATTTACTTGAGTGGTGGATGCATCTAATTATAGATTAATCGTCCATTTAACATGAGAGATCTTTGTGCACAAATACTATTGCACTCAATGTGAACAATATAGCAGTTGCCAACATTTCTGTAGCAGTTGCTGGTTGACTTCCTTTGACACCTGTAAGTTTACACACAGGGCCATGCTTTGTGTCTGTTACATGGAAAACATGTAAAGCAGCGGTGGATCTTTGATCATTTCTCCCAGAGCTCCCAGCAAACATACATTTTAAACACACTGTACACAGCCTAGCTGGATTTTGGCATTCCCTGATATGATGACTGAAATTTTTTTTTGCCAGGAGAGGTCATTAAAGTTCAGCTTAAAGTCCATTTACTGGTTAGTATGGCAATGTCTTTGTAGTACACAGGGTCTTAAAAAGAGAAAGAGAAGAGAAAGTGATTTATTTATATTAAGAGACTGGACTTTTGCATGCAATAGTTTATTTATTTGGTATAGCTTGATACTACTTTACAACATATAAAAAATTTGTATTTTTATATTGTTGGCACAGCTGGTTGAAGGTCATGAGTGTTCAGGGTGCAACAGTGTGTATATATTTATTTAGAGGGTCTTAACATGTTTGTGAATGTTGAATATGTAAAGAATATTCATCCATACATCCCTTCACTCTACTCTCCTATTTCCAGTATCACAGCAAGTAATAGCTCTGGAGAATAGCTCTTCAGGTGAGTTTAAATGTTGGTGTCAACACATAATTTTAAGCTAAGGTCTTATGGTAGACATTTTATACAGCACAATCAATTATAGTATAAAAAAAGTAAACAGTTGGCCTTCATTTAGCACATCCTGCTAAATGAGAAAACTATGCCACCTGCTGTTGTAAATTGGTACCAGCATTATGTAGTAATAGCAAAGGACTATTTGTCATCAATGTAGATCTGCTGTTACCACAAGCAACAAGTTATTTATTTCTCTTTTTAAACTGCATTAGATTTTCAAGTTCCATTATTTATTTAGGAATTAATTCATGTGTTTTTAAATTCTGTACATAATGACTGTTTTATGTGGTTTTGCCTTTGACTATTTATTGATGGATTCATACTTCATTTGTAAGTAATTTTTATAATTTTTCTTTTTTTATCACTCATTAAAATATAATGTAATAACTTTATCATTTTGTCTATTTATTTATAGATGAATAAATTGTAACGTATACATTTGTAAACACATTTATTAAGGCCTATTTTTATTCTGGAATTAGTTATTAATCAATGGAATGCTTTATTAATATTTCCATGACATCTGCCGTCCTCCATAGTTACAGTGAGATATTTATCTTTAATTATAAACAGAATAAGTTATAAAGTAATGGTACTTGACGTCTGTGCACTTCACTGTTATAATGCTCATCAAGTGTTATTTTGTTGTGCCCCGGGGCCATCAACCTGAGTGGGCCTATATTGTCTGTGTTCCAGTCCAGCTAACTTTGAGAGCTAGCTTTAAGAGCTTTATTATTATGTTAGTTGTGTTTAATCAAATTGCCACAGTCAAACTAACGCACAGAAAAGGAGCCAGACAGTGTTAGTCCATTATAAGAATACTGGTTGGTTTCTGGTTGTGAGGGAGAATAATCACTGATATGTTCGTGGTGTGCTCTGTTCTTGATGGGAACTTGGAGGCGGCCAGCAGGTATGTAAACTTGCACAGAGGGTAGGACGTGGGTGTGATCAATCAGGGCCCAGCTGCGAACATTTGCCCTTAACCCTCAACAGGTTCATCTGACCATGACTGCATGTGCTTTCAGTGGAAGCTGTACTCCTTGAGGATGTTGTAGCAGATCTCCACCACCAGAGGGTGCAGCAGAGCAAAACATGTCATGGAGAGAAGTTTGGGAGTAAAAGCTGCTCAATGTAAACTAGACTGTTTTAATAACCTGCTTACTCTATGTAATAAGCCAAAGGCCTTTTTTACAGCAGACATTTTAAATTTTTATGATAGAAAATCACAGATGTTACTTCAAGTCTGCATGTTTTAAACAGATGTTGGTCTTGATGCTCTGCAGCTCTTTTCAGCTGGTACAGAATGTGTTCAACTGTTCATTAGAGGGGTCTTCTTGATAAATTAAGGGAACTAGCACGTTATGCTGATACTGGCTTTTTAACATGGAAGCTAGAAGCAGTAAAAACGTACCTGGAGCTAGTTTTAAATGTGCAAAATTGTCTGATATATGTCATCTTTAAAATGATTCTGATGGCACAAGTTTTTGTTTCTCAATTTTTTTAAAAAAATTTGTGTTGCTTTCAGCCCAGTCAATGTTAGTTGATGCAAACATCAATAGATGACAGGTAGAATCAGCAAACAAATCTAAAAAGCCAACAGCAGGCAGGCAATTCCAGATTTCCAATAGAAAATACAATCATAACATCTCTAAGAAACAAATCTATGATTGTCTGTCAGAATACCTGAAATAAAAGGATCAATCAATCAATAATAAGCTAAATTATATCTAAAAATATATATTTGGGAAACTGAATAAAATGTAACTACTAGATACACTTTAAAATTAATTGATATATGGAAATATTCATAACAGAAATAGTAAACACAAAAATCACCTGCAGTATCACATCTAAACAGATACACATACACTCTGGACTCATAGAAAGACAAATACAGAGCAAATTAAGCACACAGAAAATAGAAAAACTGAATATACTACTTTTATTTTATGTGGACACAAGTGACAACATTTTAAACAGAGATAATCTTCCACAGGTGAAGATAGAAGTGAATACACTTATAGTTAATAAAAAAATAAAGGCTCATAAAATCACAGAGCGAATCAGTATTCTATTATTGGAGGATTGCATTGTTACTTGAAATAACCACACTGTCATATGTATCTGAAATTGTGTTCATTCAGTAAGACATTATTATCACATTTTAACAGGAGCATGCAGTGTGAGGTCACAACTACATGAGCAAGGTTTAAAATCCTTTTTTTCGAACCATAACTTTACATTCACTGTACAATCAATATGTATAACTTACTGTATACAGTACCTGTGAGTTCTATACTCTTCACAATAGACTTCCCACAGCTTCCCTGTTTTTGAAATGTTAGTAAGGCACGGGATTCTGTTTCAGCTGGCAGAGGGTAACAGAGGATCCAACACCAAAACCAGCATACAACGGCTCACTGAACTGAGCTTTGAACCTGTGGATAAGCTCCATAGTCTCTGATATTGAGTAAAAGGCCACGGTGTTGCCTGCATAATCCAGGTAAACACCCATTCGTGTGGCTCTAGGAGCATTGGGAAGGTCTCGGTCTACTTTATTGTGCCAGGCAGAGTAGCCTGAGTCTGAGCAGAGGAGACTCCAAGACTTGTCATTGTAGCCCAGCAGACTGTTGGAATTCTTCCCCTTGCGACTGATGCCCTTGTAGGCCACCCCGATGGAGAACTCGCCGCTCCATTCTGCCTCCCAGTAAAATCTGAAACCAGTAAGAGGCTCCTTGCACAGCACCTGGGAGAAGCCATCGAAGCGCTCTGGATGATCGGGGTAAAATTGGACTGTTTTCTTCCGCGTGACCCTCTGGTTCCCGTCTGACATGACCAGCTCTTTATAGACTGTATTTGGATCGAAGGACATCTTGGAAAAGTCTGAGCAAAGACAGCCATACACAAAACACATTTCTTAATAATTTATCTTTGGATCAGTATTAAGAAATAAACATTCATGCATCCATTCACTTTCCCTCACTCTCAACAATTAAATATCTGGGGAAATAATTGTGTCAAAGTATTCACTGTATTTCTGAGAACAGAACCAGAAACTCACATCTTAAGAAGTCTGTCCGGGTTTTTGGCTCCTGAAAATCAACTCTTGAAGGAACTGTTTGGATATGAAAACATACACACATAAACTGATCAATTTTATTTTATTGTTATTTTTAAATGAATCAAAAGTGAAATACACAATTATACAAAATAAAAATAAAAAGACACTTCAAATAAACAGGGGGGAATTTAACCAGTGACCCTCTGATTTCTAGAAAACCCACTTTACCAACTGAGCCACAGCCACCCCCACAATTTTACATATTTCAGTTGACAGACACTTACCTTTAAGCCGTTTGTCTCCATTTCTTGGCAAAAGTATGTACACAGGGGTTTCACTAACTGTTGAAGATGATACAGCAGGTTAGTTTGTTACTGGCCCACTTTACTGTATTCACAGTATAAAGATATTTTGTAAAGATTATCTACTGGACACAAACCTGTCTTGGAGATTTTGCTCAATTCCTTCTTGCAGATTCCGTCTAGATTTTCCTTCATCTCTGTGGCGGTCTTGCTCATCTCTCCAAAGGAGAACTGAGGGTTAATGAGAACTTTGGGTACCATGGCCTCAGGAGGAACACACAGGGTTGGAAAATTCTGTGCAACAAGAGACAGGAGCTCTATAATCCAGTCAATAAATCAGAAACACAGGCTAAAAAGTAGCCTCACCAATATTTACAGGTGGTGCATTTGATTTACTCAATACTACAGTTAATATTATCTGCTATTTAAACAATGGAGTAGGTAAAACATTTTACATGTGACAGGAACATGTGAGTACATTATCACCTAAAACGTCCTAAAATACCTAAACATTCCAGCAGGATTAAATTACATAACATGTGTTATGACTGCTCTGTATGAACCTGCAGAAAGTGAATGTTGTCCTCTGTTTCAAGGATCTGCCGTAGCTCTGAATCTCTGCGCTGCAGCTCCTGTATCTCCTGCTCCAGACGGTCCACGTACCCCTCAGCCTGTGACATTGCTGACTGCATGTTGGCCATTATCATCTGATTTATTTCAGCTTTCCAGCGCTCCACAGCCTGCAGCATTTCATGGAATGTCTTATCGCTTTCTGTCTGTGCTCGCTGGGCACAACTCTGAAAGGTGAAATCAGTTTGTCAGAGGTTTTAGAAAAGGGTGGGGGGTACCACCACCAGATGGTGTCATTTTCCTCTCTAATTCTGTTCATACTTGGCTTTAACATAGACATGATGGTTGCAAAATAAATACACAATAACACATTGCATCTTAAAATGTATGGACACAATTATTTATGTTTGCTTCGGCGATGTCTGATCTTACTTTGAGGACATCCACATTATGTTTGAGCTCCTGTAGCTCCTTCATCCTCTCCTGAATGATGTGCTGCACTTCAGACTGGGTGACCACAAGGACTTTCTGTTGGAAGAACATGACAGTAAGTCTGGCATTTTAGGTGTAGCTTTGGTGAGAGAGTTCTTCTCTCCACCAAAACTCAACATTCATGAATTCACAACTTAGATACTGTTTTAAAACTTTTCACAAATTCACAGGCCTCCAAGCAAAGAATTCATACTGACTTGTTTTTCGATGCGCTCCTCTTCTGCTGAGGTAATGTTGTGACTGCGGTGCTCTCTGACAGTACACAGCACACAGATACACATCTGGTCAGAGCGACAGAACAGTTCCAGGCCTTTCTCATGCTGGGGACAGATCTTCCTGTCCAGGTGGCCAGTCTCATCCACAAGCTTGTGCCTCTTAAAGGTGGACGACTCATAATGCGGCTTGACGTGTGTTTCGCAGTAGTAGGCTAGGCACATGAGGCACGACTTGACAGCCTTATTGCGACGGCCAACACAGAAGTCACAGAAGGACTCCCGGTGCATGTAGGGGAAAGGTGTGAGCTCCGGACGCTGCCGCCGTGGCTCGTTGTTTACGTCGGGTAGATTGCGTCTCAGCACAGGCCTTGGGGTGAAGGTTGCACGGCACTGTGGGCAGCTGTACACACCCATGTGGTCAAACTGGTCCCAGTAGATCTTGATGCACTCCAGGCAGTAGGTGTCACCACAGGGGATGGTGACTGGATCTCTCAGTGCGTCCGCACACAGTGGACAGTAATCCTCTGGTGGTAAAGGGAAGCTAGACTCAGCCATGATGATGTTGGATGAGACAAAAATGGAATGGACCCTGGATCAGAATAGTTTTTAGTCAGTTTGTGTTAATATAAGTGAGTCTAGTCTAGTCAAGTACTGTCAGTCAGAATGAGGGTCCAGAGAGCGTCCAACCACAGGCTCCTGTGTTCCTACAACTCCTTTTCAAACCAAAAACAATGCTGTTCTCTGGTGATATTTAAAGGAAAGACTTTGTTTCTACTGTAAGCACTCAGGTGATGCCTTCCCACAGCATCTGAGTGAAAGTACTGAGGTCTGCAACCGTGACGGAATCTGCTTAACAAGCAGGAATTTCAGGTAAACTCACACAGTAAGGTCAAGTTGTCAGCAAAACAAAAACTAATCTAGACTATAACATGAACGAATAAATGTCATTTGAAGAAGTATCAACACGTCATTGGAATTTATCCCTTGATACTGCTGTCTGTGTTGACATTAATGTTTTGTAAATTTACAAAACAAGGTTTCATCGTAACATCAAATGTCAGCACAGTGTTTAGCGATTGAATAGCACACAAAGACACAGATACCAATCAGTAGTTTGTTCAGGGAAGAGCTCCACTATCTACTGTTGTTTTACATTATTTTCCCCTAAAACCAAGGGAAGTGAGGAATTTGCTATTCTGGTTTGTATTTCCAAGTGGGAAAGATTTAGTCCTTCACACCCTTCAGCTTTTCATTTGACTGAGCACTGAGTTTCATTTCATGGTGGTGCGTGATGTCAAAACAACGTGTGTTTATCCTGTGAACAAAACACTGTGTCAGTATGTGGGTACCTAGAGAAGCACACTGAAAGAATGAAAAACACGTGCGAGTTAACAAGGAAGGAACTTGGCTGAACAGCACTGTGAGTATAATAAATGAGCAACCTCACAGGGTTGGGAAAAAAGAAACATCTGGGTCAGTAATGGTGTTTGTTCCTCTTGTATGTTAGAGAGGTATAATCTCTTATTTGGCTAATTTGGGTATGAAAAGACTAAGACTGAATAGGAAAGATCGGTGTCTTTAGGAAAGGATTTTTAAAGAACGCAGGAAGAAAATCTCTTTGGTAAACTTAAGAGTAATACGTCTACATTTTCAAGATGCATAATGAAAAAAATAACTAATTTTAATAAACTTTAAACTCGTAAATATATATGCATCTGCTGTATACATAACTTACAGTATGTCGGTAAAAAATGTCTTAATGGGACACAAATTTAAACTTACATTAAAATGTGTTTGGAAATGGTTATTAACTGGTTTCATAAATATTAATGTAGAGTCTGAGCTTTATTTACACTGGGCCAATGCCAGCTGCTGGCATAGGCAATATAACAAATCCAAGGGGCGCCAGGGAAAAAAGGAGGTTGAGTCAGGTTAGGCTTAGATCTGCCCTACAATTCGTATATAATAATTTGGATGTTGTTTATTAGTAATTGGAGTACTGAGTGTTTTTGCCTCCTGAGTATACCCCAATTGGTGTGATTGCCTGTTATGCAGGCCTGCCCCAGTTATAGTAATTTCCTTTTATTCTGAATAATTCAACAAGATATCTTTTTTCATTCAAAGTTTAAAACGGCTGTCATAACCCTCAGAAATAATGACATTACAGATGATAGTACCATTAGACAGTCAGTTCATTGATTCCCCATCCTAATTTGATCTGGTGAATTACAATCAAATATATGAAGTAAGACAGTTTATCAGCCACTAGAGGGCGTACTTATTCCTGTAACCCAAGGACTTTTGATCAGATAAACTCTCGTGGTTTTGTTCTCTTCAGGTGAAAGAGGTCACAGTGAGCTTTGTCATGTTGCTGCTAAATTGCTTACACTTGTGTCCAAAAATCATTCACCTTTATTGACTATATACTTAAATAGCCGTTCAAATTCCAAATCTATCTTATCTTATAAAGGAACAATGACAGTTTCATCACTGGTGGCTGAACATCACCATTATAAATAAGAACATACATTTTAGCTTGTGACAGACTAATACAAAGACAGGGAGCACATTTGCAAAAATATTAAACATATTTTGTCAAGGGGAACTACAGTTGTGTAGTGCCCCAGTTCCATTGCACATCACATGAATTTATTTAGTACACTAAATTAATAAAATACTAATTATGTTTAGACATTTGGTCCCACATTTCATCTATAAATGTGTGGGGACCTTCAAGCTCCACTGCAAGTCTCCCCCCTCTTGAAAATCTGTCTGCAAACTCATGATCCCCATCAGAACAATGTGGTGGAAAGTAACATTTCTTTTTTAAATTGCGAGTAACCCTTTATAATAAATTTGTAAATGCAAGGTCCTGAAAAAAAATCTTTTACGTACAGTCAGTGCAATCCAACCTATTGTCAACATATAAATGTATGAAGTAAATTAACATGACTTAACTGATAAAGTGTTAACTAATCAAAAAAAGTCATAGTGAGTTGATAATTTGTTAGTGGTAAGCAGCAGGAATTAATCTGGCAATAATTTATGCATTAAATCACCATGAGTCATGCTTTAGTTAGGCAATATTTAACTATATGATTTGTACCCATATTATAAAGTGTTATCTTGTGCACAATGTTACTTAATTTGAAAAAAATGAAGGGATGAATCACAGTGAAAATGTACAATTCATGGAAATAATGCAATATTAAGTATAACAGTAGGTTCATGTACTAAATTGTCAAGTATTTTTTAAACCACAGAGCACTTTTGGCACATACACTTATGTGCCAAAAGTGTATGTTATCTACCGAATTATCCCACTCTCACCAGTATGTAAAGACGTCTGCTCTGTGTGTCTGGTCTGACATTCAGTTTGATTGATATGAGGCTGTGAGATGGGATAATCTTTCCTGTAATGTGTTAGCTTTACATTAGCAGTGTTCTTTGTTCTGTGAAGGGCTGCTCTTGTCTTTGTCCAGACAAGAGGGCTCTTGTGACAATGACTGTAAGAGAGAAAGCAAGAAAGTGGAGAGCAATGGAGAGCGGGTATATGACAGATAGCAGTAAGCTCAGTTTATAGAAAGGGGTAAGAACTTTATTTATGTTGCACCTACCCCAATAACTTGAGTTACAGACCAAATATCAGAAGATATATAGCACAAATAATGGAATAATGATAAAATAAAATAAACAGATAGTGATAAATTCTACAAAAGCAAGTATGTACACAGGGGTGAGGAGCTAATGAGACTGAATAGACACAAGAGAGGCTGAGTGCCCATGATGTCATTGACTGTGCTGGTCGGTACTCTCTCCCTCCTCCCTCCCCCTTTCCTCTCTCCTACTGCCTCTCTGTATCTCTCCATGTCTGTCGTCACTGTGAGAGAGCCTGGGAGTGGCAGGAAGGAGGAGAGGCAGAGGAGAAAGAAGAAGAAAGAGGAGGAGGAAGAAGAGGTTGAGCAGCTGTACACAAATCAGGATTTTCCTGAATATTTACAGAGCATCCTTCCATTTACGGCAGCAGGTACACTTTACTCTCTCTTTTTCAGCAACACCATGCCATAGCACCTGCTACGACAAATGAGCAATGGAAACAGCATCTGAAAACAAGCCTTAGGACTGGACATTGAACATTGCCATAACTAGATTTCTTATTCCATCCTCCATGACACATTTTTTTATTCATGTGGACATTTTTAGATGCAACAGTACATTTTAGCATGCAATTTTCCTAAACAGATTCAATATTATTGTACATATATAATACATATTGCCATGCAGAAATGCAATCTACAATGTTATTTATATGTGCTATTTGTTTTTGACAAGCTGCTACTCGCAGAATGCATGAAAAGTATACTTAGATGCAATTCTTTCTGCTTTGTTATGCTCAACAACAATGAAATGATGGAATATAGCACAGCCTTTAAATAAAATGTTTTTCTTCTTTTCTTAAATTTCCATTTAGAACTTGTCTTTTTATGTCACTATCATCCAACCTAACTAATGCACCTCCTTGCAGCATTACCTTTTAGCAAATAGCAATTAGGTGATGGAGAAGTGTGTGTCAGTGTGCGTTTGTGTGTGTGAGAAAGAAAGAGATGGAGTAGAGGAGGAGAGGAGAAAGAGAAGGGGCATGTTAGTTCATTCACTGTAGATTGAACAGCAGAGCAGCCATTTGGCAACTGACCTGATTAAATTAAATTGGTGCAAGACCAGCTTGAGTAACACTAACATAATGATGGATGTGTAAGAGTTGTGTGTTTGTGTGTGTCCACTTAGACTGACCATGACGGCAGCCGTTTCTTGGCAGGCCAAACCTCAATCAGCTAATAGGGTCATTATGAATTAGTTTTAGTTCTTTCATTTCACAAAATGTCCTCAGACCAAAATGTCCTCAGATAGAAAGAACATTTACATCTATCAAAAAAGTGTGGTTTGGAAAGGCTATTTCAGGGTTACAACAATGCAAAATTATCAGTTTGTGTCTGCGTGTGAACCTGTGTCAACAAACTCTTGACTGTTTGCATACACACTAACCAAAAATGCATGTGTATCTGTCAGTATGGCTGAGGGCGCAGTGTCTGTAGCAGAGGTGGAGACCTCCTTCCAGAAGTTTGCAGTCCATGGAGACACTAAGGCCACAGGAAAGGAGATGAACGGCAAGAACTTTGCTAAGATCTGCAAGGACTGCCACATCATTGACGGCAAGAACGTCACCACTACGGATGTTGACATTGTTTTCAGCAAAGTCAAGTACGATTTTTTTTCAGGCTCAATCTTCCACGGCTATGATATTCATAACGCAGCAACCCAGTCACAGTGTAACAAACAGCATAGAAACACAGTAAACTCATTGTCAGCTGTTGCAGAGGACATCAATATTACCTGTGCAAAACAATGGAGAGTCAGTATTCATTGTTTGCTTATTAAAACAAATTCATGCTTATCAGCAAAGCTTTGCATCCTAGGATTAGCTATTAGCACGAATTGTAATACATAGCAAACTACAGCTTTACTGAAGCCATTACTTTTGAGGGTATTTGGTCATAAAAAAAAGAACAAATGACATTGCATTGACCCCATGATACTAGATGAAAATCTTTTGATCAACAAAGTCATTTCGTCCTCTGGAAATTTCACAGGCAATTCATACAATATTGTGTTCACTAAAAGCCCCAAATGCCAACCTCATGGTGGTGCTAAGTATTAAGATTGATCCTCTTGGGAACATTAATGTCTGTACAGAATTTCATGGCAATGCATGTAATAGTTGTTCAAATATTTCGGTCTGAACACTGTATGTTTCCTCAGGGCAAAGTCAGCTCGTGTAATCACATTTGAGCAATTCAACCAGGCCCTGACAGAGTTGGCTCCCAAACGTTTTAAAGGCAAAAGCAAAGAGGAGGCACTTCAGCAGCTCTATGGTCTCATTGTTGGTAAGGAGCCTACCAACCTGGGAGTCACTGTGAGTATTTTATCAGTTATAACTGCAACACACTGACCTTTCACTGCCCTCAAGCACGCAACATCCAGGGACTGCAGATCCCTCCAAAGTTATAGGTCATAGTCCACCACCACAGGTAGTAAATTACTACTTTTACTCTTTAAAATGGATAAGATAATGCAGAGAATACTGGGTTAATAACGTAGAGTGACTTCCATCTTGAGTGAAGTGAATAAAAATCTGTTGACATATCTTTTTGTTTTATTGGCTAAATCTGGTCTTTGTCCCATGGCCATTGTTTAGCCCAAAATTGAAAATGTGACTCTGGGGGTGTATTAGAGTCTACCACAATGTCATTACTGATCCTACCACTGGATGGTGCCAATTTTTTTTTTAAATCCAACGCATTGTGGCTTTTAAAAGGACACTTTTTAAAGTATAAATCTTTTTTTTTTTTACAGAGATAATTCATAGAAGTACTGGTAAAAATAAATAATTGAGTGATTATTAAGTAAGCAGAAGGGATGAAACATGTGTGTATGTTGAAGTGAACTTACTGCGTGTTTGTTAAATTAGCACAATTTTCTCTGTAAATTTGATCTTCTGTTGTTTTTAGAAAGTGGCAAAGGCATCAGCAGTGGACAGACTGACAGATACCACCAAATACACCGGAGCGCACAAGGAGCGGTTCGACGTGTCAGGCAAAGGAAAAGGAAAGGCCGGGCGCGAGGACATCCCAGACTCCAGTGGCTATGTGGCAGCTTACAAGGGCAGCGGCACTTACGAGGAAAAAGTGAAAGAAGCATAATTCTGCTGACAGATTATGAAAACTTTGTTTCACCAACAACTTTTTAACAATTAGGATTGTTAGAAAAAAATGACAAAAAATCATTGGCTAATTCTATTTTTGAAGGCAAAACACTATATACTGTATATAATTAGCATTCACCGCACTTTTAATTAAGAACAAACGAAAAAAACATGTAATTGGAGTTTCAAGGTTTTCATAAGTGACAACCAGGATAGGAATCTTTAAAGAAAGAATTTCCTGAAAATAATCCAAAGATAACAAAAATACTTACTTGCAGTAAGTATAGAATGTTCTATGGGTCGTATGAACAACTGATAGTAGCCAAGCATGTTTTAAAGAAACTCACTCTGCTTTGTAGTATAGCTTAACGCTGTGCCTCACTGATGTAGCCGCTAGCGTGAATGCTCTGATATACAGTAATGTGCTGCTACTCTCAGTTACCTTGATGCAATGGCTGATAATTTAGCTGGCTTTAAGAAATGACACATTGGACACTCCCTCACTTGCTAAGCTTATTGTTTTATATTTTAGTGCCTTTTATTACATGACCAATCAGTGCCCATTATAATACTTTTTCAAATACAGTATGTAGAACAATATAAAAAGCAGTGAAGAACACAATGCTACTGTAGTGCTGAAGCTACAGTACAGGATACTCTCATTATTCCTTATTTCTTCCTTACTAACAACATTATTTGCTTATGATGTATTCTGTCTTGCTGTTTTATTTTGTCCCAGTTTGAGTAAATTTAGAATTAAAGGCTGGAAAATGCATTTTAATAGAACTGAATGTAAAGATTTAAATAGATGTCCGACAATGCACTGAAATAACAGTTTAACTTGGATATATATTATTATTTATAATACTTCATGTAATTTAAAATGTGTGTTGTATGTGTGTGATGTTGCAGTGTAGCATCATAGGAGAAGAAAAGTTAAATTTTTTTCATAATTTAACATAGAGTATTTGGGGAAATATTGTAAGAGTTTACATTATAATCTTCTCAAAATCAACTTTTAGACCCTAACGCTAGCTTTAACAGACACAGTGCTATGTGGTATCTAAGCAGTTGTACAATTTAATCAGTGTGTTATGATACACAATGTACATACTTGTTTGTTGCAGCTATGCCACCCATATAGACTTCTTTTTTTTAATGACAACAATCTGTCACACATTTTGCTTAATGAGAATATATAACATGGTAGGCCTACATGAAAGACCTGAAAAAATGGATGGATTTAATACAATGAAGGTTAAAGATAATAACCATCATCTATGCCTTGCTGATTTCCAGAAATATCTGGGTTAAAATTTCACAACATAAAGAATCCTTGTAGAACAATACACACTTATCCTCCTACCTGGACCCTCCTTGTAATGTGACACTGATGGTATTTATGGAACCATTATAACAGTGCTTATCGTATGGTGCACATGTTTAAAGATCGCTTACTTCACACTATAGACCTGAGCTGATAAGCATCATCTGGGTTTGTGTGGATACTGTCATTGAATTTCATAATTCAGAGCCTGTATTCTCTGCATTGCCATGTTCAGCTCTAATCACTGAGATCTTGTCATATAATGAATAAATAATCCAATTAATAATGCTGTAGTAGAACTCTTGTGGAGTAATCATTTGTGTTTTTCCCCCCATCTATTCAAATTCACTACTCTGAAGTGAAAATTTGGGTAACCTTTTAAAGATTTGTTATTTACACATCCAGCATGTTTGGAGCAACATTATCAGTAATTTGAAGCCTGATCAATGTGATGTCTAGTATTTAAATATTCACTCTTCTGTGTATGGGAAGTAAACACAAGTTAAGTTAAAAAAACATTTTACTTAGATAAAAGGGTGCAGTCTGTATTTTGTTTAATAATTTATGTTAATTCAGATAAGTAATTTCATTGAATAAGTGAATAAGTTAATTGATAAAAAAGTTCAGCTCATAATCATTTCCTTTAATTCCTGTTGATTCTAGTATGATATTGTGTAAAAAGCAATAATGTGAAAGCATGTTATTGTCTCTTTAAGAGAAATAGGGCTTTTATATTTTGTGCTCATTAAGTGGAATTTCTTTTTTTTGTTCAGTTGAGGCTCAAGCACGGTTTTCTTACCATAATACAGTTTGCTGATTAGGAGAGCTTCATTTTGAACACTTCTATAAGAAGATACTACAAAACTGTTGAATTAAAAAAACTTTTTTACATCAGAGTCTTGTGGAAGTGCATGCACACGAGTTAGGACAAGGCTATCTATCTATGCTTCAACTGCCCTCAGTGTGTCTTGCTTTTTATCTCTGTTCATCGCTGTGTCTGTTATTTGGTGATAGACAGCCAGTTTGTAGAGATTTGCAGCAGGCTTATCATAAACAACAAACTGAAAGATCCTATCAGCCAACCTGATACCTTTGACCTAATAACCAACAAACAGGCTCTGTAAGATACAATCTTTAGGAGATTTTGATATACACTGGGGAGTTTATCAGGACAGTCTCTGCTGAAACATGCCATCACAGGTGACATGAGCACAGGGTTGAAAGTGTGTATGTGAGGGGAATAAGTTAGTGAAATAGACCGTTCATAGATTGGAGGGTGTGAGCTGTCAGTTGAGTGGACACAGAGATCTCTCCACCCACTTGGAGATAAAAATGCCATGAAAGGGAACATCTCTACGATCATCGTGTATACTACTGCAAGACCTCAAGTTCTTCACAATTTGTATTTATTTTTACCTTTTATTGTTCATCACAATTACTGCTGGCTCAACTATATGATTTCAAGTGGATACATATTGAAGAGGAGAATCTTTGTTGGGCTGCAGTGAGTCAAGAAATTTTTTATTCAGATGAGACAAATACAAAGCCAAATTGAAATGTTCTTACAAGCCATTGTTGTAGCAGGTTTATGCAGGTTAATCTTGTAACATTAAAAAAAAATGATTTTTTTTCCTTTTTGCATCGTTTTGCAAAGCTGGATACAGTTTGTCCAGTTTATTAAATTATTATTTATTTTAAATTGTAATCATTTCCACAGTAGAACATAATCCCAAAATAGTGTTCACCACTGTAATCAAACTAAACTTTATTAACTGAAACATAGTTGGTAAGAGCATTTTACTTGAGACAGGGAGACCATTATTCTTTTTTTGAATGTGTGAAATATTTTGTAAGTTAACCCCACTGTATTGGTAGAAACAAACAATAAGATAAAACAAAAAATGAAAATAACAAAATTTTTCATTTACTTGAATTAAGCATTTCTCATTCAGGACATGAAATTCCAGGTTTCTTCTACATTGTCTTTGACGTTATAAAATAAAATTGACTGTGAAGAAATACTTGCATCAGTGTTCATTCTGATGAAACACTCTGTCTGCAGATATTTCCCTGTGTTTTGAGATGAGAGTTACAGCATGCACTCTGTTCATCTTGGGCCTGCTGTGGGACAGTGTGAGAGCCGAAAATACTCTCAGCAGCCTACGAGCGGCAGCAGGTAAACTAAACTGTTATTCAGCTATCATTCAACTTCACATTGACAAAAACTATTTGGGGTTAACAAGGCATTTTGGTCAGGAAGATATGTTGTTGATAGGTGATAAAGATACTAGATGTGAGCTGGCCAACCAATGGTTCAGACAAAGAAAAAAAGAAGATCATTATATTGTGTGTGGACTTAATATATTACATAAAATTTCTCCAGTGACAACTCTTTAAATCATAATGTGAATGTGAAAAATGTGAAAAATATTTGTCATTATTCTACCATCAGACTAACTCAAAACACGCATAATCTTTCAAATTTGGAATATGAAATGTGTTGATGTGTTAAGGAAATATGTTTTGCCACATCGGCTTAGAGAAAACCAATACCAAAACTCAAAACCAAATCTCAGTAAATGGTGTTTGTCTTGAAAAGTTATGGCAAGAATCTGCACATACATGTATATGTTGCATATACATAATGTAGATATCCATCTTTATCCATGGAGTGGATTTGTATTTTAACCAAATAAAAAACAGCAGCTGATTTCAAGGTCTATAACGCTCCTTCCCTTTCCTTCGTTCCACATTTGCAGTAGCGTGGGAGGGGGAGCTGCCGTGCAGAAAGTGGGACTGTGACTGTGCATTTAAGCGCCAGCGAGGCTGCTGCTGTGCCGCACCTGAGCTCCAAGAAGTGAAGGATCAAATCTTTGTGAGGGTGATGAACCTGTTGACAGACATGTCCCAACTCGATGACAGCGTCCTTGAAGTTATAGGTACATAGGTACAAATAGTCCACAGAATCAAGCAAAACTGCATGTTGAAACATCTAATCTAATGCCACTGAGCAAACTCCATTTAGTGATTAAAAGCTCCAGAATAGCTTGACTCAAAGTGAGATTGTTCTGTCTTCTGCTGAAGACACATATGAAGATAATAACATGATTGTTTGTTTCCTTCCCTGTTCTTCCGTCTCAGGAGGGATAAGGGTTGCGTTCACAGCTTCCATGAGTCACAGAACAAACTGCTTTGGACCTTTCACCAGGAACAGCCCCATCCCGTATGATGTTATCATCCTAAACCATGGAAGTGGATATAACCCTGCCTTGGGTAAGTGATCAAAAGTGGTAATTTCAACACCAATCATGATTCATGTGATGGCAGGACATTTTTCAGTATGGTTAGCAATTTTAACCACAGAGGAGCAGTAAAATAAGCTGCTTTATGACAATTAACTAATAGACATGTACAGCACAACTCAATCAGTACTTGACAGATTCAAGGAGAAGAGCTGCTTACATCACATAAATGCATTTTGTGCAGTTTACTGATTTACTTATACAGTTAACTGGAATTCTTTCTCTGTTTAACTCCAACTGACATTTGAAAACATGAAAGTGCAGAGAGGCCTTGTACCAATTAAATAAATATAATGATGTTATTTGTTCCAGGTATATTCACAGCCCCTCGTTCTGGACTGTACTCCTTCTCCTTCTCGGTTTACTCCAAGGTGGGCAAGGAAGGTGAGAGGATGTACTACAAGGTGCAACTCATGAGAAACGGGGAGGTGGTGGCATCCACATGGGAAGACAACAGAGAGGACTCAGAAGACAGCAGCTCTCAGACAGTATTGCTGTCACTGCAGCAGGGAGGCCAGGTCTATGTAGAGCTGCTGAATGGCAGGCAGCTATGTGGGATTGTTGAGGGCCTAAACGCCTTCTCTGGCTCCTTAATTTACTCCACTCTGGCCTAATATTCATACATTTCATTATGTGTGTCTGCCTTGTCCAAAGCAAATAAAGCCAAAATGACAACATGAAGTTATAGATGAACATAAAATACATCATTTGAAACACGCTAATGCCTTACTTCTAACTGCACTGTATGGGGATTTTTTGAACTTTAATAAAAAAATATGCAAACAAATGCTTGCATGCGCTGAGATTTATATATATATATATTTTGCTTAAACAATAGTGAAAGTAGGGGGTGGTGTCTTAAATACAGAATGAGTGGCACCTTGTAAGATAGATTCGCAGTCCAGTGTGAGTCAACATCCCCAGTTAAACTCTGATCACCCTGATCGAGCCAGCTGGAGGAGGAGTTGTAGAGTCTTATTGCAGCAGCCAGAACGGTCTCCTATAGCGCTCCTTAGTACAATATGGTTGTAATAGTGTGTTGCTAAAGGCGCTTCTCTGCTCTGCCACAGTGTCATGTAGGGTATGGGAGGGGTTGTCCACAGTGTCCAGGGTGACACAAAAGAGACAAGCCCAAGGCCTTTTAGTCTACTAGAGGGGCTTTTCCGTTGGCACTATTGGCCGTGCCAGGACAAACCATGCCACGCTGATATGCGTTTCTGAGCCAGTTTAAACATGTTGAGTTGTACCAAGTTGGTAAGTACACCATGTGTTGCATTATTCATATAGCCCCAAGCCAAATCGTCATACAGTAAGCCATAGCCTACCAGATACACCGTATGCCCTGATCTATTCTCCCAACCAGGAGGAGCACTGTGATCAGGAGTCATAGCTGACAAATGCAGTCACCAGAAAGATCAGGACTATACTGTATTTAAAGCCCTTTTCTTGATGAAGTTGGATCCTTTCTCCGTCCCCTAGTGAGGGCTGTTTCAGGGCCCTGAGAACTGATAAGCAGCAGAAAGAGTGGACGATTATGACATTAACAAAAAAGGTTGTGTAAATGAAAATGTAAATGCCCACTGATATTGGATTTTCACCGCACAAAAACATTTGGACTATAGCAATCAGAATGGTTTTCAGCCAAATAACACCACAAAAGCTCATCCTGTACTGCCGGGGTTTACAGCTGAGGTACAGCACAGGGTGTACAGCGCTTTGGAATTTAATCCTGGCTGTGAATATCATGTTGTTGAGTTTAGGCATTATGTGTACAACTGCAGGGTTTAAATGAAAGCTTGTGGTCATTATCGGTGGCTGCAGGATTTCAAAACACTTCCATCCTGTCTGTCCAAAAGACAGGAGACAATATTATTGTCACAGCACCCAGTCATTAGCAGGCAGAGAGATCAGGATATTCAGAAGTCAGAATTGTTGTGAGGTTTTTTTTTTATGCGATAAGATTTTGCATGTTTCCTGGAAATAGGTGCAAAAGAAAAAACAGAAAAGTAGAGGAATGCATGTTCAACATTCAGACTCTTTATGAATAAGTACAACATCAGTAGAGTCCTTTAAATCTACTTATCATGGGGGAAAGTGTGAGACACTGTCACTGACCTTTCTCTTTTTATTTATTTGCCATTACCCAAAATCTGATGTTTAGAGTTTGTCTGTAAACTCAAAAAAGCAACACAAACCCACACACTGTCCATTATAAATACAATCTATAATTCACTACTGTATAAAAATGTGATGAAAAAAGATGAGATCAGAGATGTAGAGTAGGTGATTCTCCTGGTAACAAATTCAAGAAAATTATGATAAATAAAGTCTAGAAACATAATAGCACAAAGCAAATAATGCCGAGTGACAGAACATTTTAGACATAGGGTGCAAAGAGATGCGGCAGCTATAGGCAGTATGAGAATAAATAACCAACCCCCAAAGAACCATACCAGGCAAC